AAAAGTTCGAATTCCGACGATCGATATGTTACAGATAATGATTCAATACGATTACAATATATGCCATATGTTGTATTGAAAAGTAAGTTGACAAAGATGCTTATTACTTGGTGAGTCTATGTGACATGTGTAGTTCATTAGATGTTAGAAAGTCCTGTCACACTTCTCAAACAGAACTCAGTGACGATAAAAAGACCTCACCAAAGGCTGGTCGCTCAGTTCCGAGCAAAGAGCAACAATTTGGACATTCAAAGTTGCGAAGACATAGCTATCGTCCACATAAGAATAATCATCCGGTACGCAAACCGTGATATCTCTAGAAGGGGCGATTTAAGAATAGCAATATAAGTAAAGACCAGAAAAAGCGAAAAGTGGTGTTCATAGATAAATTACCTGAAATGAACACCGTAAGGCTGAGCGTCACAGATAGAGGAAAGGATGGGACGAGGTAGAACAGGAGAAATGTATGCTACGAAAGATAAATCTCGTAGCTGCGAGGACAAAATTCGTGCTGGTCGTGGGTGACTACAGAAAATATCAATAAGATAGTACAAAAAGGAAGGTTTGAGAAAGATGAAAAGAGTTACTGCTTGGTAGTTGATATAGTGTGATGAAAATCACAAACCTTTCCTGGAGTTTTACCTGAAACGGTCTGTACTTACACGTGATGTCATATATTGTTCTTCCATAACTCGGAATCTAAAGAATGAAAATTTCCAAAAATAGGCTAAGGTCTGTTACAGATGTAATCGTAATCGCAACAATGATATAATTACTCACTACGAAAGAACCACCACGATCTGATGACAACCTGAATGCAATTTGCGGTTGCGCAACATCAAAAATGTGATCCAACAGCTCACAGCCCAAGCCTGTACTATTTTATCTTCAACTGATTATCGTCTAAGCACGTAGAGAGAAAAGTTTTACCATCTACCCAACCCATTGTGTTGATGATCAGAAGTGAACCAGGTTCACTAGTGGAATGATATTCATTCAATAAGCGATCAAAGATCATCTGCAATTAAATGAATTATCCTAATTTCTTGCAAAAGCCGCACCCTAAAATCTTTACTGGGCGCAGTACCAACGCCTGCCACGGCAGCCAATGGCAGGCGCGGCATCCCGCACCTATGTGCAGCACCCAAGGAGTTTGGTGTGCATAGCTGAGAAAATACTACGCCGTAATGAAGCATGTGCAACGCGTCGTTGCTCCTGTCTCTCAAAAAAGTTTTCAGAGTGCGGCTTATGTCCAGAAATCTAAAGTAACAGTAGAAAGGCTAAGCGAAGAAGATCTTCAAAGTGAAGCTCAATAATTGACTTCGGTTCCAAGGCATCACACTGTTCTTTAGACGTAAATGAAAAGTTACGTGCAAGTTTGAAATTTCATAAGATCTAATAATTACCTTATACTTCTCCGTGTCATCTGCTGGTGA